CGAATCCAGTCTGCGGATTGCAGTGCCGCAGCTCGATTTATGTTGCTCAGATAACTAACACACACACATACATACATACATACATACATACATACATACATACATACATACATACATACATACATACGAACTTGCATACATACATGGATGCCCACCAACCTACCTACATACCTAGGTTACCCACCTCTAACAACCAACCGACCTACCTACCAACCTGCCTGCCTGCNNTACATCCCTACCTACCTACCTACCTACCTGCCTGCCTGCCTGCCTGCCTGCCTGCCTGCCTGCCTGCCTGTGTGCCTGCCTGCCTGCCTACCTTCCTGCCTACCTACCCATCTGTACGTGGTAACTGCGCACATACGTACGTACGTACCTACATAATACATAAACACATGTACACACATATACGACCCCATACGCATATGCACACATATACATGCGTGCAAACGTACACACGTACATACGTACATATGTACCTGTACCTACTTACTGACCGACCGACCTATTTATGTATGTAAGTATCGGCGTACGTACGTATGTTTACATGTCTTACATGACTATGAATACAGCCATGAATGTAAGTAAACAAGCGGATAAACTATGCACCAAGCTCGCGGCCGGCTGTCCAGCTGCATCGGTGACGCACGCGTTCCCACCAGACTCCTGGACGCAAAGGATGCCACCTCAAGTCACGGGAGCTCACATATCCACCTTCCGAGTCCAAACTGGAGAAGACTAGCCAAGGAACATGCATGGTCCCACGTCTTCAACTGCTCCTCATACTGCACCTAAGCTCCAGGAAGAATGATGCGTCTAGCGGCGACTCTGAACCAGCCGCGGTTTGCTTGCAAGCCACATACCCACAATGGGTTCCAGCAGCCACCGCGAAGTATTTCACCATGGAGCCGCAGCACCTCGCAGCTAAACAAACCCTGACTATATATCCCCAAAATCAATTGATCCATATAAGCACAAGGAGTCCTGATAAGAACCGGTGGTTCTTACTCAGGTTCCTAGACTCGGCGAATTGAAGCCAGCTCAAGCCCAGGTGCATATCTGTGGCTGGGGCATCGCCAAACGGCCTGCAGGCAAGTAGAGTTGCGGTGTTGCTGCACCCAACAACGCATGCTGGCCTGCAGGCAGTCCGGCTGCTCTGCGGAGACAGGAGCCAAGGAGGGTAGTCACGGCCTGGCTTGTCATGCGACCGCTACGGAAAGAGTGCACACCTAACGGTCTGTGCTATGTCGCTCCGCTCGGCTGAGCCTGCTTGCAGCTGCCCCGGCAAAGGCGGTGGCAGTTGTCCGAAGTCTGACAGGCACTGATTTGCCACGTTTGTGGCCTTCTTTGGCAGTTCTAGCATTGCGCCCTTGCGCCGCTTGCGCCTTGACTGGCCCAGTCTGGTTTTGGAGGCTCGTACTCCAGCGGGCCCGGCCCCTCTGCAGCCCACCAGCGAAGCCCATGGCCTTTCACCTGAGCTCGCCCATCTTCAACGAGAGTTGACCGAGTGCACTAAATATAAAGTGCCTGTGAAGCACAGCAAGCATGATGGGAGGAGTCGCGGTAGCCTCAGCAGGGCAACTTCTTCCAGCTACCGCGCTCCTAAAGTCTGCTTTCACGACTGGAAGGACAGTGGTTCACATCCGAACCCAATTTCGCCTCCAATCCCCACACATCTGCCGAGGTGCATTGGGATAGCCTTGGCTGGGAAGCACCATTCACCCAATGCCCCACTCAGCAGGATCCAGAAGTCTCGAGTCCGAAATCCGAGTTCCTGAATTCCATTGGCCCCAGAGGCCCTCCTGCTCTCAACATCGTGGAACCTTCAGAGCCTGTGGCTTTGTGCACCTCAATTCGGAGCTAAAATTCCGAACTTTCGACAGTCGAGCTGCCCAAAGCGGCTTCCAACCGAAAACAAGACCTTCCGAAAAGTAGGCGTCCCGTTCTTTGTCAGCTGTTTACCGTGGTAGATCTATCGTCTATCGAGCAGCCCATCACCCCGACGAGGGCTTCGCCATCCATCAACAAGGACAAGCCGATCACGTAACCCTGGCCCGTCAAGAAGCCCTTAGTGCCATCGATCGGGTCGAGAACCTGGCAAGAACAAACTCACCTTCAACTGTGCCCTCTGCCTCAAAAAGCCGAGCTTACCCAGACTCGACGGTTCTCGCCCTCTCGAGGCGGCACCAGCCCCACGTCAACTGCAGCTAAGAAGGACTCTTTCGTGATGCTGCTGTCACCTCGGGCAACTACACAGTCGGGTCTTTGCAAGTTCGGGCCATATCCGGCCATGTGGAACGCCAGGAAACCGAATTTTGAGCATAGCTCCTCGGCAGAACAGCGAGAAGTCGATGCAACGCCGCTGAGCACAGACTTCAAGCAGCTGTATCATCCCATGACAAACTTCGTTGCTGACTGTTACAACGCGAGTGCCCTGTCAAGCATCTAGTGCCAGCCCGCAAAGATCTGCATCAGCACGCAGATCCGCAGCATCCTCCTCCCCCATGAACCTATCTGAAGGGAACCTCAGCAAAATAAGCATGCTCGGCAAGAGGCTACTCAACCCGACAGTGGCCACCAAGCACGAGCAACAGAAGCAAGCGGCTGTTTCTGCAGGCTTTCAAAGACAAGACCTTGAATGGCGTAGTCTGCCGCTGTGACAGGTGTCGAGTCACCTGCCCAAACTACCAGTTACTCAGTAAGTACAATCATTTTGAATCTTCTTGCCTTTCGCATCTGCTTTAAACCTGAAGGGCGCCTGGCTTGATGGCAGAAATGCCAGCCGTAATATCGCAAGCTTCCATTTCTTTCCCCAACGAAGGCGGGGCAACCTCAAGAATCTTTTGCCCTTTCGTGCAAACCCTTGCCGTTGCACCTTCAGTGTCCTCTTAAGCGGAGGGGCTTTGTGAGCCTAGGAAGATGCAGCAGAGAGGCATCCATGTCACAAGCCAGGGCCTGCACAAGCCTCGGCTCAAGAATGCACACCAAAAAAACACTTAAAATGATGTGGCACCTTCCCTACATGCAGCAGAAGCACCGCATCGACCGCTGAACAACCTACAAGCGCCATGCACCGTTGTCACATACGACGTACGTGTCCATTGAGCGACAGCTGCAACTGATCCTCTCACAACTGTGCATTCAAGGGCCAGCGCTGCCTCCACTGCAGCTGTAACCTCGGCCTCAAGGTCTGATCTCGCTGCTTTCATGGGCCGGAAAGGCCTCCTGCCTCCTGCAAACGTCAAGATGAGGCCAGCAGTTGTAACATTGTACCACTGTATCACCTCCGTCGCTCCTCTCCCGCGTTCTCGAAGAAATGGAACTACTGCGGCTGCAGCCGCAGCTATGGTGCCTCAAATCTGCACAAACTCTCTCCGCGTCTTGACTCTTGACCCAAGTGCCCAAAGGGCCTGGCCTGCTTCACTGCTGCGCCGAAGCTGCAATGAGCACCTTGCCGGCCTTGCCGGCCTTGCCGTGCCATTCAAGGGGATCCTGGGCAAGACTGGCGACTTGCGCCCTGGGGCCTTCGGGGGCATTCGACTCCCTTCTCTCTGGAAGGACATCCTGAGATACTGAGATCCTGCCTTGGCCTCGGCCGGGCAGAAGGGCGCGCTCGGACGGCTTGTAACATACTCGAGCCAAGAGCTGAGCCATGAAGCACCCAAGGAGGAGAAACGAGGGACGGAGGGAGGGAGGGAAGGACGGACGGAGGGAGGGAAGGGAGGGAGGGAGTGCGAGTGGGGTATGAAGAGTATGAAGAGTCATGAGGACGCCGGTGACGCACCGTGCCTCGGGCTCCGTGTCTTGGGCCGGTCGGCCTGCCCGCAGAGAAGCGAAGACTTCACCGTCAGTCTGAGCAGTGTTCCGGCTTTCCGGCCTGAAACCCCGGGCCGGGCGGAAGACCTCAAGGGTTACAATAATAATAAGTATTATTGTTTTAATATTATCATTATCATTATTATTTTTATTAACATTATTTTATCTTAGTACATTTTTGTTATTCTGATATTTGTATTTATTTGCTTTATTTGTTTATTTATTTATATTATATTGTTGACTTTTTCTGGGCTTGACATGTCAGCCTCCCGGCTGCAAACTAAGACAGGGACCGAGCCAACGCCAAGGCCTCAGCTCTGATTTAAAGAACAGCTACGGTGGCGAAGTATGTTACAAGAAGTTGATAGGATCACGTATATAAAGCGATCCTACTGACTGTCACCGGTCAGTCTACATGTGCCTCATAGGCGTCCGCCAGGTTCGAGCGCAGATCGTGGATCATCTGCCTGTCCAGTCCAAAACCCACTGGCAGCATGCAGGCGACATAGCCGGCACAGCAAGAGAGCTCGAAGGGCTGTGGGATCAAAACACCAAACCAAACGGGTATATCAAAAAAACACATCTGAGACATGCTCCCTCATTTTAGCGATTCCGGTCCTTCACACACTCCTTCATCTGGCGATTCCGGTTCATCCTATATCGTGAACACACCCCCTCATGTGGCGATTCCGGCTCATCCTATATCTCAACACACACCCCCTCATGTGGCGATTCCGGTTCATCACGTATCTCAAACACGCCACCTCATTTGGCGATTCCGGTTCATCATGTATCTCAAACACGCCCCCTCATTTGGCCTCATTTGGCGATTCCGGTTCATCACGTATCTCAAACACCCCCCCTTTTTTGGCGATTCCGGTGCATCACGTATCTTAAACACGCCCCCTAATTTGGCGATCCGGTTCATCATACCCCCTTAGTTGGCGATTCCGGTTCATCACACATCTTCAACCCACCCCCTCATTTGGCGATTCCGGTTCATCCCGTGTCTTAAACACGCCCGCTCCTCCTCCCTTCCTTCTTTTCTTTGACAGAGAAGACCAGTTTGTGAGTGTCTACGAGCTGCAAATGCTGTATTTACAGCATTTCGGAATTTTGAGTTTTGTTGACCCCTGTTTGATTGCTTCGTGATCCCTATTTGGTTTGTTCTCCCTTGTTGATTTTTGTTTGATGGCACCTCGTTGGCTCGGAGCTTTGCGTTGGCCTCGCTGCAGCTGGCCTGAACCGAAAGCAGAGCAACGCCGGCGCAAGTCGCTCGGAGTTTTTGAGGCGTGCACGCGGCGCAGTTCTGTCTGCCTGCCAGGCAGACAAAAAGCTCATCTTAGATCATCTTAATCTCAGATGCGAGGGCTGGGGCTGGGAAGGCTGGGAAGCGGATGCCTCGCTGCCGGACGTTGTTGCTCAAGGCCACTCGCTCCTCGACAGGTCCCAGGCTGAGGCTGCTGAGGCTCTGAAGATCTCTGAAGCCCTGTTTGTGCCAAGCAGCTGCTGGGGACAACCTCCGACCTACAGCGGTGTGTTAATTACAGCAGTGCTGCAGCTCTACGTCCGTACTTGAGACAAAACAATGCCAAAAGGCCTGCGTCGCGTGGCAGGGCTACCCCGGGTGGCAGCTCCATTCGATCCACAGCTTGGAAGGCCTTGCTCGGAGGCGGTTCTGAGAAGCGCCCCAACAGCTGCTTCTCCAGGGCCTGTTCCAAGACTGCCAAGAAGCAAGATGTTTGCAAGATGCTACAAGCACGACGAGCAGAGACGAGGAGAGCTCCCAGCTCCCAGTCGCGGTACGCGGCGCGCCTGGTTCTCGGCCACGAGGCGCTGCACCTGGGCCTCGAGGTCCGCCAGGCGAGTCGCGGAGGCACCGAAACTGTTCGATGCTGCGTTCGTGTTGTTTCCGGTGTCCGGGCCCGAAGAAGCATTTTGGCTGCTGTGTTTCGGGGCTTCCTGCTCAAGTTGCTGGCTCAGTGTATGGATTCTCCCGAGCAGCTGTTGCAGGGCCGCTTGGTCGCGCTGCTCCTCGGGGCTGGCGCTCACCCCATGGCCATGGGCTTTATGCGCGAAGGCATCTTCTTGGAGCTGGAAGTCCAAGTCCGAGGCGGCTTGGTCGCGCGACTCGCACGCCTCTGCGGACGTCACTTGCACCAGGGCTTCGAAGAGACTGGCCTCGGCTCCTGCCCAGTCATCTTCGCTGCTGCCCACTTCCATGGCATCGGCGCAACTTTGCACGAGCTGGGGCAGGGCGGCCGACAACACTCGGCACAGGCCAACATTGCCATGAGATGCGAAATCGCCGGAATCGGGCGATCTGGCGAGGTGCAGCAAGCCGGAGCGCAGCTCGGCAGCTGTCTGCGACATCACCGTCTGAAGAGACTCCAGCTCCTGCCGTGCCTCCGTATCTTCGGACTCCCATCTGCAAAGCAGCTCCGTGGGCTTCGTTGCAGATGATGCCGCAGAAGTTGACCAACCGGACATAGTGAGCCGCTCCGTGTCACACATGTCGGAGGGACTGCCGTGCTCCTCCCCAGCTCCCAACGCTCGACTGTGCTGCTTTAGGACTTCCTCCAATTCATCAGCCTCTGCCTCGGCTAAGATCAGCCGCTCTGTAGCGTACGAATTCTCATGAGCTGCCCTCCTCCTGCTCACCAGCGCCCGGTGGTGCCGGCGGGCGAGGAGTTGATGTGCACGGCGCGTGAGGCTGCGAAAGGCTTCGAGGTTGGAACTCTCGAGATCTTCCTCACCTGGCGATTTCGTCACTCGGCTCTCGAACCTGGTGTCCATGCGGAAGCTTTCAAGGACGCTGCTGGCCCAGCTTCGGCTCTTTTGCGGGGGCCCGAGCGAGGAAGCTGGTGCCGTTTCATGGCGCTTGGCAACTTCTGCTGGCTCTGGTGGTGAAGCCTCCACAGTCGAGTCCTCCTCGCTGGAGAACCCGAAGCCCCAGAACGTGTGCATGTCAGGTCTCGCTTGAGCGTGGCTCGCAAGGTTCACGGCCACTGCCGGGACAAGTGCAGCCCATGATGAGGATGCTGCCCTGGCGGGCGAAGTTCTGAAGCTTGTTCTATGACAATGGTAAAGTTGATCATGCATGCGTCTCGGAACGGAACAGAACACCAGCGAACATGTAAGTCATGTAAGCATTCGCAACACAAACAAGTACCCTACCCTTCCCTGATCACGGCCGAACAAAGGAGCGGACGGCGAGCGCAAGATGGGGCAGTGGAAAGTGCTATCGCTGTCGAATCAAGCAAATCGAAGATCACACTCATCTCGAAATCCCGCTTTTCTCGGCCGATGGCTGGGCTCAGAAGGTTCCATCTGGAGTGTCCTGACAGAGCTGTCCCCGGCCTCGCCCAAGTGCCATTAATTCAAGCAGGTCGGTCTGACCCCCAGCAGCTCCCCTCGCTGCAACCTCGGCTCTGGGAGGCTCCAGGCTCCAGGCTCCCGGGGAAAACGCGTTTGACGGGTCTCCGGCAGCGTCAGACCATGTCGGAAGACTCGTCTCGAGTGCACGTGGAGAGGTCGGAATTCGGGCCACCTCTTCAGCACCTGGCAGACGCCAGCGCCCGGGAGGTCCTGTGTCCTAGAATCTCGTCTGCCGACCTCGGAGACGAATTGCCTGTCGTGGGATCATCTACACTGCAGGGAATCCCCGTCGCTTCTGCAGGACTGGGGCCTTTCGGACGGGCGATGAGCTCGGCCGACACAGTACCCATGCACATCGCTTTCACCTGTCACAAATGTTGTCGAGTTTCGTCGTTCTGTCTCATTCTGTGATTCTCTGGCCTTGGCAGTCACGGAATCGATAGCCTCAGCGGCAAACCCAAGAGCTCAGAGACGCGCGGCAAGTGCGCCACTCTTGCATGCACCACGGCCTTGAGCTACTTCCATGTCTGCAACACACCCGTGAATAACCTTTTCCTCCCACGCTTTGTTGCACCAGCAGTCGCCCCTGGCTGCTTCCGGTACATGTCGAGCACTTGCTCTGCTGTCGTCGCCTGCCTTGGAGCGATACCCATAGCAACTGCAGTGACAAGGAAGCAAAAAATATGTATTCACTCAAAAATCTCCGTCTGCAGATAGGAGTCGCCGCGGATTTGTCATCTGCAGCCCGCACTCTCAGGACGCGTGGAAAGCGAAGAGCCAGACCGCTCTCCTGCGATTCCGAACTTGGAGTCTGCCGGCCAAAGCTAAGCCGCTAAGCCCTTGCTCCTTCACTGCACCGGTGCCCCGCAGACGTCCAGCAGCACAAGAATGCATGCGAGAGACTGTCAGATCAGCTCCAGTTATTTCCTTAGCTGTCAGATTTTGGCCGGGATGGTCTACAGAGCCAATTTCAGGAGTCCAAGGATCCATCACAGGAGCCTTGGAGATGTCGGAGATCCACTGCCACCTGACGCCAGAGCCGCCAAAGAAAAGCACAGAAAGCCAGTAACGTCCCCAGATTTGGTTTGGGGCAAAGACTCGGAGAGCATGGAACCAGACCAGGCAGTCTGCAATCGCGCAGGCACGGTGCAGCCGTCACCGACCAACGGCCGGCAAAGGTCGTAGTAGTCCTGAAGCTCCTGCAGCTCTCGCAGTCCCCGCCGCCACCCTAACAAAGCGGTTTGTACGGTCCTGATCGGTCAGGCCCGTGCCAGTCGCACACAAGGTCTGGTAGTTGGCATCTGCATCATCCGTCTGCCTGCAGCTGCACTCCCACATATGATGCACAAAGCCACGCACAACCCAACCGATGAAGCAGCATCTGACTTTGCAGCTTGGACTTCTTGGCATTAGGTGGGCCTCACGGCCAGCAGATAAGATCCATAGACGCTGCTTCGCTTTCCTTTTCCACGCTTGACTCCAACCACCACAGCATCAATGGCGTCGCCTTGAGTATTCTGGACTCCACCCAAACTCGCCGCAACTTCAACTTTCGGGAGGTAGACAAAGAGCCTCCCTTTCAATTCAGTGCACGCCGAGAATCTGAGCGCGCTGTCCAGGTAGTCCTGCCAAGAAACAGGTCCAGAAACACTTCAGGCAACCTGCAAAATCGAAAAGCAACGGCCTTCTTGAGCTTCAACCATGTCGAGGTCCGGATTCCTGGCCTTAAGTCGACTAGCAGTGACTCCAACGAGGCGGAGAGTTTGCCGCCGCTTAAGAAAATAGTGGAGATACCCACAGTAACCCCAATCAGATCCAAAGAACATCAATCGGGGCTTGGACGCTGCCCAAAAATCCAACATGTTTGCACCGAGTGTCTTGTATTCAGCATCCAGCTGCTTGAGCATCAGCCCCTCCGTCGAGGACTTGATGGCAACATCCAGTGCCTTCCTTGGCTGCACGGCCTTACCTGATTTCACCGTACACATTCACAAGATGTAGGAGAGTCATGAAGGATCATGCAATAGCTCATCCCAAGCTGCTGCAGCTCCTCCTGGGTTCGGAAGCCTGTGCCCTCTGCAAACTTCAAGCGGCTGCTCGCTTTGGCAGGCGTGACTGCTTCGTGCCTCATATTTCACTCGATCGAGGCACCATGAACACGCGGACTACTACGGCTGCCAAGCTGCATCAGTTCAAGTCTCTTCGCCAACGGCTGTCGCAACAGCGATTCGCCGTTCAGGAACAGGCAATCGAAAGCAAAGAAGGCAACATCCTTGGAAGTGTCCAGGCATACCTAGTTGCGTAGACTTGCCTCGTATTGAGCTGAACTTCGACAAGACTTATAGGGATTGCATCTAGAAGTTCGAAGAGCATCCGACCGCTTTGAGTCCGGTGTGGCCTCCCGCGGCCGTCGCGACAGGATCTGAAACGGAAGGATCTTGTCCTCGGAATTTGGACTGAGAATCTACCGATCATCAGAATCTTCGGTCTTCAGTTGGTTCTCCTGGCAACTCGCAGAAATCCACGAAACAACCTCGCCAAGAGCATGTATATCTGTATATCCGTGCAACCCGGTAGCGCCATCAACGGCCACAACTTCTGCATCGAGAATGATGCTCTCAAAGGGACAGCCCCTCAGGCTCTTTGCAATCTCCGGGAAGCGGGCGGTGACGTTCTTCAAGTTTCCTTGTTGAGGCTCGGGATTCGGATGCATTGAAAGGCTGGACAACCCCTGTATCGTCTGTAAGATCACTTAAACGTTGCATGCCCGCAGTCTGGAGAACAACTCGAAGCGGATCTTCTTTCGCCGTTGTTCGGCGTGGATCTGCAACCTTTCGCCGTCGTACTTCCACTCAGCCCTCCAGCCGGATGGGGCGCCCCTTACCGGTACTGGATTGACACTGTGACTTTGAATCATACCATGCGACAAAGGCAATCTGCGGCATTTTGATCAGAGCGGCTTTGCCGTGACTTTGGCTAGGACCTCGTCGATGCCCCTTGCCTCGAACAGCAGCATTCACATCAACCACGACTTCCCAAAATGCAATCACTACTTGGATCCTGACCGGTTTTGCTGTGGAGGGTGAGATTGGCCACCACAGGTGCGCGGCGCGGGCACTGCTCGTTGGCGCACCCCTCTCCACAGCACTGCCGTTTTTGATGCTGTCCACTGCTGCATCGATATCAGGGTTCAGTTCAAGGATCTCCTAAGTGGCCACATCTGACTCGAAGCCACCCAAACATCAAAGCAGATTGCAGAAATGTGCGTCAAGGAATGCTCCTGTTACGCTCGAGGGTCCAGCAACCTTCCACCATCGGGAAGATTTGCATGCTGCGCAAACGCCAGAGCCACAGTCTTATCCGAGGCCCCGATGCCAAGGCTCTTTCCTTTCTGCCTGAATGCTTCTTGCAACATGACGAGCACGACGGCGTCCCAAAAGCTGCGCTTCCGAGGCACAGCATTCGGCAGGCATACTTTGCACCAGCCGGACACTTGCGGCCGCAGCCATTCGCCAGGCTCGCCGCCAGAGCCGCCCGCCGGGCTACGGCTCCCTTTGTTGAGCTGAGAGCACTTGGGCTTCTTGGGCTCAGTCTTCGGGAATACCCGTCCTTGTCTGCGATCTCAGTGAACTTCCCCATCTCCTCTGCTGAGCACAAACGCAAGAGGGAAGACCTGTGTAGACATCTCGAAAGCTCGACGGACTTCGTCGTTGCTGCCGGGCTGCTTCGCAAGCCTGTTGCACAGTGAGGTCCTCGAACTTGGCCAGGGCGCTCTTTGTGCGAGGCTCTTGTTCAAGAAGCCTGCTGGATCGTGCACCAATAGAAGTGGAGCGCTGACTATTTCTAGTCGGGGACGCTTTCGCAGCCCCGAAGGTCTCGTGGCCGAACTTCGTTCTTGCTCAACGAGACTTACGACAGCTTGGCTAGCTTGGTTGGCTGAAAGGAAAAGTGCACCTTGCGAGGGGTTGGTTTTTCCATACATCGACAGGAGCACAAGAGCACCTTCGTGTTGACTTGGCACCGAGTGGGAGCGGTTGCATGCGAAGGGACCCAATATGGCTCAATCTTCAGCACGACTCGTGACCCTGACCGTTTTTTTTGCGAGCACACCGACGCGACAAACCGTGGCTGCTTTGCTGTCGGCCGGAGCAGGAGCTGTAGCCGAGAAGACAAAAGTGTTCCTGCTGCTGGAGTCGGAGGACATCCGCATCTGCCGTTTGTTTAGAGCACTAAGACTTAGCAGTCACAAAAGGTGGCAAAGAGCTGCGATCACCTTACGAGGACAGAGTACGATGCACGACTCGTGAACTCAATAAGCTGAAGCCGACACGCGCCTTTGCCAACCCTCTCCGATGTCGGCCACCTCCCCGGTGGCTAGCCACTTTGCCAGGGTGTCCTGTCAATTTGCTGTTTGCACCGAGGTCTTAGTCTTATGTGTGGGACGATCTCATTGCAGAGCCCTGGTGAGCTCCTCAGCAGATTCGGTACTGAGCTGCATGTCTGCAACTGCCGCCTGCAACACTGCTGACCCCACCTTGGTACAGCGTCCACCAGCGACCCAAATCGAATTCGATAAGCTTCTGTGACTAGCGACAAATTGAATGGCCGAGGGACTCGCAGCTGGGCTGAGCCGTGAAGCCCCCACCGAGTTAGGAGCTTTAGCAATGCTTTGGCGTCGGCCAAGGGCGATTGATCGAACAGCTCCCTTAGGAGGAAGCTGATCTGGCACGGCAAAAGCATCAAACCCTCGTGCCATTCTCATGTTCCGCATCGTGTACCTGTGGTTGATGCCATCCAAGTGACTTGAGAAGCTCGACCTTCCGGTCCGCGCTGCCTGTTCCTGTTGCGGCAGCCACCTTTTCCAGCTGCTGCGCCAGGACCGAAAACCTTAAAACCGATGACAAGCTCTGTGGCACCGGATGTAAGCTGTCGGAAACTGGGCTCCTCGACCTCAGTCCGGCTCCCTTCCTGCCTTTGAGGGACTTGCCTCAGCGGAAGGCAAGTGTGCGTCTGTTTTGCCCTCCGCCGATCTCCGTTCCGCGGGGCCTGAAGGGCCGCGGGCCACAGCGAAGCCTCGGCAGCTTCCGAGCCTCGGCTTTTCCACCAAACGAATACCGAGAGAAAAAAAAAAGTGTCTCCTTGTTGCGGGCAAGAGTCCCAAGGCTCCTCCACAATAGGACCATGGCGCACAACACCCACCAGTGCTGGGCCATGGATTCGTGGATATCTGCGATTTCGGATACAGTTCTATGAAAGCTGCGGGTTGTTTTGCAGGTATGACAAGGGAGAGTGGCCATGGCCGTCAAGATCTCCAGACCTATGTGCGGCTCTGTTGAACTGAAGGAGTCCGAAGGTAATGGCATCTTTGCGGCTAGGTGGCTCACACTGCTACAAGCCCATTGTGGCTGCTTTGGCATGGAACAAGGCCTTCACATTAAACTGGCAACCGACTGGTTCCTCTGATGGCACATGCAGGCATCCAATATGAACTGATCCGGCCGTCCGGACCGTGCAATCACTCGCAGCTTCCCTAGATCCTCCCTCTCCAATGAAAGGTTCTTCCTGAGACCCTGCTCTCCAATCCACCAGCCCACTTTGGGCTCCGCGCAACGGGCTGCCCCTCCAGGGCGCAGGGCACAGCTCTCCTCGCTGAAGGGCAGCCCCTCTTCCTGCACCCATATGAAATCGGAGCCGTTGTCCAACTCTCCGAAATCGGCCTCTGGCGGTGCACCAGAGCCGAAGTCCCGGACCTGGCTGACGCGGGCTGACGGGAACTGGAGGAGGAGATGCGACGGGCCGGCTGCGCATGCAAACCCGTGTCGTGCACAGCGACCAAGGCATTCGGAGCCAGGGCTGGACGCAGCCGCTCGAAAGCTTTCAAGCTGTACCTTGTGGCGTTTTGCAGTAAGCCAAGGCTTGTGCGCAACCTGCTGCCACGCTGCTCGATGAGGTGGCCAGCATCGAAAAATGCCACGTCTATCGGCCGGCCGTCCACATCTGCTGGCTCGAAGTCGGCCTGACCTGAGAACTCCGGAAGGGCACTGCACTCTGTGCCTCCAGCTTCGGGAGGCTCCCGGCTCTTCTGGTGGAAGAAGAAACGTGGGTCGGAGTCCTCCACCGTCAATGGGCCGGACAAAATGCGGCGGCAAATCGCCGATGCTCCTCCAGCGCTCGCGCTGCAGGGTACGGGAGAATGTCGTAGCCTCCCGCATTGACGGAAGAGCCCTCTGCGAAAAATGTCGGGTTCAATCTGTGGGCCAGGCTGAAGACCCGAGCATCTAAGTCCTCCGCAATGGCATGCCTAAGGCAGAAGTTTCACGGTGCTTTGAAGGCTGTTTGGGGAGCAAGACTTCCCGGGGCAGCAACATCCAGTTCAGCGCGCTGAAACCATTGGAAGTTCCAAACCTCAGGTCCGTCAGTCGGATTGCAAGCATTACGGAGTTTCCTGCTCATGAGCATCAACTCAGGCCGAGGAACCAGCTCTACGATTGTTCGAGGACCTCACTGGCAAGCGGTCGACAGCAGAAGTGAACCTTCTGCCTAGCTCGCCAATGCGAACTTTCGTGCCACGCAAGGCCCACACGCAACGCACGAACCAGGCTGTAGAGCAGGAGTGCTTCGTCATCCTGGCAGACTTTGCCCGACATGAACCCGAGCCACTCGTCCTGTCAGGCACTGCTCCGGTGCCTGCACGGGTCCAAGCCTAGGCTTGTTATCACGCTCGAGGTGGAACCTGGCAGGGCTATCCCAGGAACATAGGGTCGGGACGCGACGCTGAGAAGTTGAGAGGTAGGCAGCTCGTAGTGCAGCTTCTGGGGCGGGTCGAAGTTGAAGTCCCTGCAAATTCCGACAGGCAACACACAGAATCCACTCTGCCCACAGTGAAGCAGCGCATTGTTAGTAATTTGCCGGAGCGACGCGTAGCGCTTCACAGCTGTCAGGCTGCAACACCGATCGAAGGTAAACGAGGAATCCCAGCCTGAGAGACATGGCAGAACCTTTCATGTGAATCAGCCGGTTGCGAGATTGCGAGAGGCTCCTAGCTGCTCTTTCCCGGATGCGCTTCGTGCTCGCTTTGCGCACTGCACATGCCCTGTTACAGGGTTATCCCACCCCACAGACAGACTGGCCCTCTTTGTGGCCTTGACTTTGGTCTGCAAAAGGGGACGCATGGGGCTCGCATGGGCTTTCGGTTCTGCTGTTGCTTGTCTGCATTCAAGGCAAGCAGCACCTTCCTCCAGTCACTGCGACTTCAATGGGTTTTATTATCCCGAACCTGTCTCAGAATCTGAGCCGGATCTCGCCCGCATGAAGAGTTGGGCCTTCCTCCGGCTTGCAAGACTCCAATCAGCCCCGTGAGCCTGCAGCACAGCTTCGGAGGCCCCTTTCCAGGCTGAAAAGTGCAAAACTGCACCATGCAGGATTTCGCCGGGCGACTGCTAATTGATCAAGGGGGCGGCCGACGGAAGTGACCATTTCAGAGACCTGGCTAGAAGCAGGCCCCCGACAAAGAATCACCAAGCGCCACACCGATGATCTGCGCTTGCACGAGGCACGGCAGTGCCCTCTGGGCGCAGCACCACGGAGTTCGCATCGGCATGCATGCGATCCAGCATACTCATCACGAAGCCGTTGTCTCCTGTAGCGAGCTGTAAGCCAGCTCCATTCCGCCCAGTGCCATTGTAAACAATCGCGCTTGGTTATACCCTGACGATGTGACGTGCAATCGTCTGATCGTTCTTTGCTCCTGCTGTGAACTTGCAAGCTCGTCGCTGCCTTCGCAGGCATGAGGGCAACAGCAGACTCGAACCGCGACACGTTCTTGATTTCACCTTGCTTCCGAACTTTGCAGAGCCAAGACGCAGATACTCCTTGTCGGGTCGATAGTAAATCAATCGCTGTCGCGTGAACAGCTCAGGCACCTCATGGCTCTTGAGCACCTCACGGGCTAGGGTAGTTTGTTATTTTGAGCTCTCTTACTTCGGTGGCTTGGGCTTACAGGCAAAGCACCTCGATGGGGTTGGTGTTCAGGTAGTCAGCTAGCCCAGCTGTCCCACCTTTCCAGAGAAGCTCGGAGGATGACGGTAGCAAAGCACAGGTGTAGCAGGGGCAAACGATGTGGCGATCTCGCAGGAAACACTTCGGAGAGCCATACTTGGAGCGGTCCAACCACCAACCACCCATGACCGACGCGGTGCCCCGCGTGCCCTCTTGGGCCATGCCCCCCTGCCACCCCCAACAATGTTTCAAAAAAAGAGAGATTCCCTGCACAGTGCCCGCCCACAAGACATGCTGGGCGAACACTCAGTCGTGCCCCGTGCCTGGTTTTTGCAGCTCTGCACGCTTTTTGCCGGGCTCTTTGGGGTAGTCCCAAACTGCTGCGGAATCAGAGTCAGGGGGACCCTGGTCGCGCCAATGAACGTTCCAGCCCTCCATGTCCCGGGGCCGATCCGAGCCACAAGGCCCCAAACATTGTCATGCGCTTCCGATTTGCGTCGGCACTGGCATCTAAACTCCGCAGCGTACAGCTTCCGGTTCACTAAGATCCAAGACGACAGCGGGCCGAAGCGAATCTGAGGGGGCCACCCAGCTGGCTGAGAGCCTTGCAAGCCCAGCAGTGGCCAGGAACCCTCGGAGGACGCTCACCGGGCCTCCGAGTAGGACAACTGGCTGCTGGGAACCGAAGGCTCCAGACCTGCACATCCCCCGCTTGAGACAGAAGCGTCAAATCCGTCAGGCGAGCCGAACCCAGAGCCTGGTAAGACGAAGCGCAAAAAGATGAAATGCATCATGCAATGCCTGGGTTCGTCTCTGTTTCTGCCAAGCGGAAGCAAACCGGTGGCCCTGCAATCAAGAGGCGCGGTAAAGCCGTGCCTTGGTCACAGAACACGCATTCTGAGTTGACGAGGCGAGCGGCCGTGCGAAGCCAAGGTACCAACCAGTAAACAGGTCATTCTTTGGGACTGCTTTCCACGATCGCTCCCAGGCTGCGGCGAGGAGGCCCAAAGGGAAACACCAGTATGCAGCTTGGCAGGCCTTGGCACTGGTCAAGATCTCCCGACGCTTCGTGGCTTCTTGCGGCTCCGGCACGTGCAGGCTCTTTGTGCCCTGGAAGCACGCCGAGTCCCAGCGCAGGACTCGGACGCGGTACTGGATGTAAGCCTCACATCCGAGAAACATCTGGAGACGAAAGTGCAAAAAGGACGCAGGGGGATGCCAAGGAGCCACCCCGCTGAAAACGATCAGAAGGAGGAAGAAGACTCCTCGAGGGCCAAAAGAAAGCCATGATAGGCCCGTCGCGCAACAAAATAACAACAGCTCGTTGAGGCCAAGGTCGGTGGTACATGCTCGGCCCAAGGAGAAATGTTGAAATGATGGTGGACGTCGTGCAGATCCTGAGCTGCACAAACGACAGCGTGGACAGCTTCTCGTTGATCCGTATAGTGATCACTACCGACTATAACAGTGGTCACTGGTCTGGGGGCCAAGGTGCAAATCTGCAAGTGGCACTTTGAGATCCTGAGCCAGAAAGCACGACAGCTTCTTTCCTCCTAGTACCTAAGACCAAAGACAGAGTCCTTTTTTGCTTGGTATACTTGGTACCTCTCTATGTTGGTACTTTAGGATGCTGACAGGTCACTGTTTCTGGTGCCATCATGGCAACTTCTGCCTGCCCCGGAGTGATTCGGGCGTCCTCGGGGAAGCTTGCCCGTCAGAGACAAGGAATGGACTTGTGCGGGACACAGAGGCGAGAGCACTGAGAGCATGTGGAGCTGCGGAAACTCAAAAGACAAGTCTGCATTGCCACCGAGACTCACGCTCTATCCGAAGAACTGCGATGTAGAAGGCGAATGCGATGGTGGCCACCTCTGCGCTGTCTGAGCCACTGGACCGTGCCTACCCATCACGCACGGCTGCAGCTGCAGTGCATGTGTGCTGTAAAGGCGCTGGCTCAACTAGATAGGGCAACAACACATAGGACGGGAAAAGAAGGTAGACCAAGTTTTCCTCAGATTGCAATGGGACTCAACCGCAAGTGCATCGCGGGCAACGTGCATGCAGAGGTGCGCAACTCGACGTGAAACAAGCTTGCACGCTTCAACCCTGCCGACACTGCTAGCTGTTGTCGAGCATCCTCGACCTCAGGCACCCGTCTCTCGCGCGACCGGGATCGCACCAAAATCCTATGACCCCCTGAAGAATACAGGTTCAGGGTCAATATGGCAGGCTGGGGCACCACCTCCAGTTTGACGTCATGCGATAGGTTGTCCGACAGCTGCTGCACGGAACTGTAGCTCGTGACCTGGCGCCACATGGAGCCACAAGACCTTCTGAGCGTCGCTTCCTGTCATCGTGGCAGTTTTCTGGACGAAGTCGAGGCTCCCACGAAAAAGTCCTGAGTGCAGATGGGCTGCGGATTCAGCCCACTTCACACGCCGAAAGCCGAAAGCTCGACACACTACAAACAGTGAGCCAAGCAGCCATGAGGCAATTCACGGCTACGCACCTCGGCTGTGCCCTGCGCTAAACTAACTGTGGGAATGCGCAGGGACCTAGGAGAGACTGCGGGATCACTGCAAAGTAAGCTATCACACCAAATCACGGTATAAGAACCGCCAGATCCGTCAGGTGCTGCTCACTCTGATGCCAATACCCCATATACTCGGTGAGCTTGGGAATCAGGATGGACAGAGCACCTCACAACACAAACGAGCCTTAAAAACAATGCAGGCTAACTCCCGTCAGCCAAAGAACTGTTGCCAAGTGCCTTAGCCCAACTCGAGTTCCAATGCCTCCAATGAGTGTACGACATGGATCGATTGCACGGAAACTGATTGGCTGAAAGCAAGCTGCGATAATGAGGCCCGCGAAGTTTGAGACACCCACTGCCAGGTCCGACGTAACGTTGTAGGAGCCAACGCTCCTGTAGCTTCAGGTTTTCTAACATGCAACTTCACATCGAGCTACAATCAACGATCACTGCAGCACCAGCGTCATGGAGAGGCGATAGAAGGGAAAGTAGAGGCCAAACCAAACGGCAAGGGCCAGCAGCAGCACGAAGCATGACCTTGGACGGGAAGAGAGCGGAGAGATCGCAACGGTTACGCGAGTTTGCGGCATCACGACCCCTCTGACAGCAAGGAAAAAGTGCAAAGGAACGCACACGACCGCCCTCCGCCAGAACGTGTGGGAGTCGACGTGAAAGTTGGCCCAGAGAATCGTCTGCGCACAGTGCAGGGAGAGAGATTGTGCTCGGATGCGGGAACGATCAAGCAGCCGAGCTGACCGATTCTTCATCAAGCTTGCACATGCATGTGGTCGCAACTTCACGACAGGCTATGTCCATGAAAGAAAGCTTTAGTCTTGCACGAGATGCCGGGGAACTTGCGGGCTGCTTTGGCATCGCTTGACTTTGATCTCGTGCACCCCACGGAAGCGGCCTCACCGCACGAGTCAAGCCATTCGACCTAGAAAGCATCAAACTTGATGTCCGACTCTTTTGATTTTTATTCTGAAAATGCCCGGCCTGGCAAGACTTGCGCACTTGCAAGTGCCACAGCCACTGGCTCCATCTTCAAAACAACAAACCTGGACATGGCTTGCCCGATCGTCACGACAGGTTCAATTTTCTGCGACTGCAAATCTGCCGCTTGTTGGGCAAGCTGCACGAGACCGGAGCTCGGGAATTGATCCGCATTCAGCTCATCCAGGTCTTCGTTCTGGCAGATACTTTGCGGGTCTACAGACGTCCCGCGGCACGAGAAAGGGGTGCCACACATGACCTGGGCACTCAGCAGCCAGACATCAGAAAGCCTTGCAGCACAAACCATTTCCGATATCTAGTCTAAAGCAGAGCCAAGTGGCGCCGGCAAGCAATTGAACCCAAAAGCCTCCTGGATCTGCGTCTTCCGCATCAGAACTAGTGTCGCTGAAATCGGCAGTCATGGCTTTCAACTCCATCATTTCGGCTTCGCCAACACTTCTGGAGACCTGTCGTTGGCTCAGGGGCCCATAGCCACCAGAATTGTCCTGGTAGTGGCTTGGGCTTCCAGGATCATTTGCATCCTCCTCTGCCAGATGCCTCTCCATGGCTTGCTCCACCCATAGAGCTTCAGCTGGAGTGAACTTGTAGCCTCAAACATCAAAAGGGGGACACTCTGTTCAGCACGCGCGCTTCGTCTCCCCATGTCCGCCTATGGAAATGTGCTCGACTCCATCTGGCGGAAGGCCGAGATCAACCAAAGCCCGACTGAAGTATGCCTTAACTAGTCATGGTCAAGCTATGGGCAGCTTCGCAACGGAAAGTCTAATGTGATCGGCTGACGACACTGATCACCAATGTCAAGGCCAGCGTCCGCCAATTCTTCCTTGTCAGTTGCATCTTCCGGGAAGCCGGATGCCTCAACACCTGTGCAGCATGCCGCTGAGTATGACCTCCCCGTGAGTGGACATCATCCACGCACCAGGCAACCAAGTCACAGTAGAAATGCAGGCATATGTCTCCCTCCGTGTCGTGCGTCATGCTCGTCCACTGCAAGCTTTGCCACATGAGGAAGATCGCAGACATCACTGTCGCACCTTCTTTGACGACCGCGAATTGTGCAAGCTCTTTCTCAGCTGTCACTTCAAGACGGTGAAAACAGGAAACATCCACAGTTGTCGCTGACGAGGAACCAGCGTAGTTCAGCGCCGCCCAGAAACCGTGCCACTGGTCGGGGCCCTGAAGGTGTTCAAGGTTGCATTTCCACACCATTGTCGGGTCCTGGAGATCCATGTCTATCATGTACAGGGAGCAAACACATGGACTCTTGGATAAGTCTTGGATGCTTATCAGGCCGGTCCAGCTGCTTTGGCTTCCACTGTGGTGCAAAATGGTACGCCAGGACCGACAGCCAGATGCCAACGGCAGCCACCAGCGCAAACCTATGAGCTACAAGAACAGCATTGGAATGTTGCACTTTGGCCATAAAGAGCGGCCCTCTGGACTTTGTGCATCCTGGCGACCAATTCATGCAGAGCACTGTGCCGGGCCCGCCGATCGGTGCCCTCCCGGAGGAATGCCAATGCATGGAAGAGCACAGAGGGTACTGCGGTCTCCCCATTTCCTTAGGCACGACGGCCCTCCTGGCATCTCCTGGCTTCAAGGCCTGCAAGCAAGGATCGAGACCAGTGTCCACCGGATCTTTCGTCGAGAACACATTACTTTGTCCCTTTTCCACAACACGAGACGAAGGCTGATGTGATGCGCGGTCAGGTAATGGTCAGTAACTGATGCGTCTTCGCAGCGTAGTTGTTTCGAAGCTTTGCGCGCCAGCGAGAGATGTAGCCTGCCTCAATGACAGAATGTCATGACACAAGGATGCACGGCCCACTACCAACCTAAGAGGCACCTTGCTATGAAGCTCCGTTTGGTCCGAAGACTTATGTGGCTAAATCGCCTTCAGCGCCACGTGATTCGTCCGCTCTTTGACATGAGCCATGGCAATATCGAAGCAGGCCCAAACAAAGAGAAAGACTCCCACGATGCCGACTGCTTTCCACAGCATCTTCGCCCTCCACTCACCTCAATTGCGCCCACTGGTATGGCCAAAACGAGGAGAAGTCTTGCTATGTGCATTTTTACCATACTTGACACAGCTTTGGCATATGAAGCCCCATCAGCTGAGTCAGTGAAGATGCATCTGCCAGATAGCTCCTCGAATCCACTGCCACATCGAGCGCATTGATCCACGTCCGCACATTTGTCGCATCCGGGAATATCGCAGCTTTCGCATCGGCCGGTTCCGTCCTGAACTCGCCGGCAGGCATCGAACACGCAGGCTGGAAACATCTTGAAAGTGTGGGATTGGAGACGTCTGGTCCTCATGCACTGCGAATCCTCTCGGAAGCAATCTGCCACACGTCTCCTTCCTGACGCAGGTGTACCTTGCAAGGCTTGTAAGATCTTGTATACGGCTGCTTCGAGCTGTGGCTGTGCGTGCAGACACGAGGCCGCCCCGTATCGGCTCCGCACTGGAGCAGGGACGGGCAGTCCCGGGGGCAGGAGGCACGCCCTCCTGGGCGCGTAAAACTGCTCCAAAAAAGCTCTTCGAGAATGTGTCAAGCTGAAGTTGGGGCACCCGTCTCTGTCTCGTTCGCAAAGAAGCCCACGCCGCACCTTGAGCTCTGTTGGCCATTAGCTCTTCGTAACACGCTATCAAACGCTTTCCGCATCGGCGAAGCTCTCAATTCTGCGAGGGAGGCACTGCAGTGCCTCTGCCCCGGCCCTGCAGAGGTAGGCGCAACAGAGCAGCCGCCATCTGGTGCAGTACATCTACACAAGTCTCTTGGAGCCAGAAAGCGCTGGCAGCTTTCTCCTTTGGGCTCCACAAAGACTTGAGCCAAGGATGGAGTGGCGTCGTCAGACTTCCGTCGAATTCAAGGATCGAAGCTACCGCATCGTCATCGAGCATCCGGCACGAGTCGTCCGAGTCCCGGCAGCAACGCTCGAAGGTGAAGCCGCCACGCCTGGGGTTATGTTACTTGGGGTCTGTCTATGCTTGCAACGCCTCAGCACTTCAGGGAAGTCTGTTTCTGAGCATCGCCAGGACTTGTCCGACTGAGAATCTGCTGGCGCTCCTCTAGGTACCCACCTTGGCAAACGGTTCGTCACGGTTGCGACGCCGACAATCAACTCCCTCACGGCAGGTGGCACAGGTCTGCGAGGCTGCCGTCTCCCAGCAGCACTTCCAAGGGAACGTCCTCTCGCCCGTACAGCCTGAGCCGTCAGAGCGGTCATGGGCCAAAGCCTCAAAGCTGCACGACAGCTGCCACAGCCGAGATACACATCGCGGCCCAGCCTCCAGGAAGCCCAGGGCAAAACTCGTCATGAAACATCTGTACTTCATTGTCATGCTCCATGAAGTGGCATGCCTCTCTGCTAGGGGGGCTGCCGTCAGCGAGTCTACCTTCGCTGGAGGTCCGACCGGCTGTGCATGTGAAGCAGCACTCTCTGCTCTTCCCCGTAACTACATGGTCTTCGGACATGCACACACTAAACAGGCATGCCGAGCCCGAGCTGCCCCCAGCTCTGCCAGCGAAGCCCCCAGGTCTAAGGAGGCACCAGGGTGGCTTCCCTCAATTCTCAAAGAAATGGGTCGCCCTCAAAGTCAGAACAGATCCGAGGGCTCAGCCAGGGCCAAGAACAGCACTTCCCTCGCACTTCCAGCTGCCGGACTGCCTACGACAGAAGCAATGGAACATTGTCCTCATTAGAAGCCACGGCTTCCGATGTCCCACCTGCTCGGTTCTGTCCACCGGGAACATGCGCTGACTCGAGCAGTGCTCGCCGGTCGACCTTCCCCGATGCAGTGAGCGGCAGTGCCTGTAAGGGCAAGGGGATGACATCGCAGTCGGTGACGATGACTGCGAGGATGATCAGCTTGATGCTGGCAGTGAGGATGGTGATGGTGAGAATGGTGATGGTGGTGATGATGGTGCAGTGAAGATGACGAAGATGATGATGATGATGATGATGATGCTGATGATGATGCCGCTGGTGCTGATGCCGAGCATGCTGATGATGGTGCTGGTGGTCACGGTGGCGGTGATGATGCTGGTGGTGGCGGCGGCAGTGGTGCTGGCGGGGGTTGCTTCGTCATCTCATCGTCGCCATCATCGCCATCATCATCGCCAGTCAGCTGCAGCAGAAGTGTGTGAGTGTTCTGACTCTCGAGATGGCTGTTATCGCTAAGATGGTTTTGTTCATCGGCATTGTGTAATGATTTTGTGGATGTCGATAAGCCTGCGGCGATGAAGGGTCTGAATCGTGTCTATCTTGCGATGTGTGGGGTTGCTCTGGCCCTGCTCATAACGATTATGACAATGACTCTACGTGATATGCTCTGCCATGAACAGCCATAGCCGTAGCCGGTCGTAGCTGCAACTGTAAAGGCAGCATAACCACCAATGGAACAGCTCTCTTGCAGTAGTATCTTCCGGCGCCTACCCGGCTACCACATCCCGCCTCAACGAAACGTATCTCGCGAGGCACCATGTAGGCCTGATGCCATCCCATGCCCGCCCGGCTCCCACCGAACGAAACCTCGAAGAACGAAACCAACAACAACAACAAAAGCAGCAACAGCAACAGCCACATTAGATGCAGACAAAAACAGGACCCAAGTCATGATGTTTTACCCCCAAAAAAAAGTTTTTCAGATTCTCGACTCACACACTCGCTTTTAGGGTTTAGGTTTGGGATTCAACTCCAGGCTGAGATCTTTCTCAACGCCCTTCCAATTACCACAAAACCCTCTAATAAAACGGATGAAGGATCAAACAAAAATTTAAAATGGATCAAAAAAATTAGGCTCAACCGATCAAAAAAAATTAAAAAGGATCAAAAACAAATTTCGACTCTCACACTCGCACGCAGCAGGCAAGGCTCAAAAACAAATTTAGGGTTGGGGGACTTGCTGCAAACAATAGCACGGTTGCTGGGCATAGCGGATCAAAAAAAGTCAGGAAGTATCAAAAACAAATTAAACCATTTCTGTAAGTGCGATTTCAATAGTCCTGGGTCGGAACTACTAAATCCGGGCAGGGGGTTTCAGATTTACATGTGAAAGTTGGCGCCGCTTTCGCAGGCCGCTGTGGCAACTCCCCACGGTTTTGGTTGCAGGGTATTAGATGTGGGTCTGATTTGAGGTCTAGGTTTCGTGTTTCAGGTTTATGTCGTCGGGTTAAAGGCCGTTTGATTTTCTTGGGTGGTTTAAGGTTCATCTCACAGAGAGAGAATACATATGTATATATATGGCTATATTCATCTTTCTTCATCAATATTCATACATGCAATGGTGATAAGACTAGTCAGAATAATAGAAATGATAGTCCTGGGAGTAATACTAGGAATAATCATGATAATAATAAGCAAAATGGTTATAATAGTAATAGTACGCACATATTTCCAAGAAGCCAAGAAAGCCGAGAAGTCAAGAAACCGAGAAGCGAAGAAGGGCAGAAGCCGCGAATCCGCGAAGCCAAGAAGCCAGGAAGCTGACAAGCCCTAGTGATAGTACACATGTGACCAAGAAGCCCAGAAGCCAAGAAGCCGAGAA